GTATAAAAACCACGGCTGAGCTCCCTGTTCACCCCTCCATCTACACACCTCTATTGTTCTCCACAAAATACTTTGGAAGAGCTTTTGATGTTCTGTTCCTTCTTCTCCAAACACTTCGCCCAACACTTCATGCGTCGGTGGCCTTGCCTCTTAAAAAACGGACTTGTTGCCTAATGATCGAGAATCCGGCGCTCCAACACCACCTAGGTACGAAAGATATGGCCAGACCTAAACACGCAGACGAAGTTTACATGATCTTCCGTTCTGAGGACAGCAGCTATAACTACCCACCCACATCACTCATCCTACCCTCCATCTTCAGACGATACGCCGAAAATCTGTACCAAAAACATTTGTCTCAAAGGAAACTTGCTCTTTCTCGCGGCAAAAACACATTCACAGCACTCAATATTCTCTGCCTGAAGCCTCTTATCCAGGATGTTATGACCTTCTGTGCGGATTCGGCGTTCGTAAAAGTGCCCTGACTATGCCTGTAACTTCCAAAAATGATGATACCAACGCCTATGCGTGTCAAAAATATGGCGGGGCTTTCCATGGCGTGAAGCAAACCGACCCTTCGCCAGGAAACTGAAGAGCCTGTGGGAAAACTCTCGACATGACGTTCTGTAGAGTCGCTTTCGTGAGGTCACGAACGAATGTGTTGTTTAGTACGGACCTCACATCACCAAGGTCTTTCCAGGAGACAAGAATCTCATGTGCCAGATAAAAGCAGACACCATGCTTCTCTCTTTTCGAGTTTTGCGTGTCCCACTAGAACTAGCATGCGGACAAAACAAACGCAGAAAGCGGCTCGAAACCGCAACCCATGGATTGGTATCGCGTGTGAATATTTTCCCTTTCCTTAACCATACCAACTAGAAATGTAGACAGCCATCCCATCTCCGTGAAGTTTTCGTAACATCGTGGCATCCCAGCCTACCATGAAACCTTGACGTATTCTCTCGTAACAAAACTCATCATCCTTCCCGCCCGCACGACCCAGAACACATAGCCTAGGCACTACCCGGCGGTCCGCCCATGTTCAAAAGGATATCTAACATGTCCATACCACCGATATCCGGTCCCATAGCCGTCTGATTGATCTCCGCACCCCACTGATCCAGCAAAGGATCAAGTGGCAGCGCAAGCCAGTCCTGATCTTGACCGGCGCCCCAGCTCGCACCGCTATTCGCCCACTGACTCCAGTTGGTATTGTTATTGCCGTTGGAGTTGTTGCTATTTGTATTGTTGTTCTGGTAGTTCTGATAGTTGCCAGGCGGCGGCATGATGCTGATGGAGTTGCTGTTGGGGTCATAGGGCTCGGCTGAAATACCCCAAAGAGGTGTCGCGCGACCACTTGCACCGAGGCCCATACTAGGGGAGCCGGGCACGCTGGTACCAGTACCAGAAAAACCCGTTTGCTGTGATCCCATGTATGCCGGTGCAAGGTGGTTAGTGTTGTTGAGTGGAGCGGGCGGAGGCATCAATGGTGCCTGGTTCGGGCTCTTGCTGCCAGCGCGGGATATGCCACTCGAACCGTTGGCAGCCAGGCGCACGAAGCGCGAACGGATGCGGTGGGTCAGGGTTTCGACGAGGTCAGCGAAGCGGTTACCGACGTGCACATCGTCGACTATGCTCGTTCGTAGGGCATCAACTGAGTCGCTGAGCAGGCTAAGGCTGACGGCCACGTCTTCTTCGGTTGCGCCCAACGCAAATGTCTTGAGCAATATTATGGCCACACTGACGATGCGGAAGAACGTGCGTACTGGCGCATGCCGTAGATAGCCACCAGGATGCAGACCCTCGACCACGACTTTCAGTACGTTGCGTGACGCATCGATGACTTCGTTGATGTAGTGGCGATCGTTCGCGTACCATTTGACGAGTGTACTAAAGGGAATAGCGCCGCCGTCATCGTTGCCGGTGCCATTGCCGTTGCTGCTTGGAGTGCGTCCGTTCATGCCGTTGGGCTGGGCATGTGTCTGTAGCGGAGTGTTATGTGTGCAGCGTTCTACCACCGCCTGGAGAGCGAGCGAGTTGAGATATACACGCGTGTACTCAAACTCGATGATGAGGACGTGGCGGAGTTGTGCCGGAACTAAACGTTGTTAGACAGAGTGTGCGAAAGCAGTGCAATGACGATCCTACCTTGAGGGGCTCGGTCGAAGCATTTCCTCCACTCCACCAATGGCCCTTGGAAGAACTTCAGCATCTCCTCGTAACCTCCTGACTTGAGCAACTCTCTGGTCTTGCGTCGATTGGAGAACAACTTCAGGTTTCCCATCTCCATGACCTTGGCAATGCGAGCCCAGAAGTCGAGCACAAGATCTTGAACAGCATGGCGTTCTTGGGTAGCGATGGATTCGAGCGGAAGGCGCTGGCCATCTGAGCGCATCCCAAACTGAGCTGGCGGAGCTTTGATGCGACTGATGCGCTCTTTGTAGAGCTCAAGTGGTGAGGGGCCGCCGACCAGGTTCTCATCCCGCTCGAGCTTGGGAAGCATAGAGGTGAGACCCAGTCTACCGCTGGTCTGGGTGACGTATATGATGAGCAAGTCGCGCAGATGGTTCTTTCTCCGGTAGTAGGCCTTCACAGTCGCATGCGAGAGGTGCTGATTTGCCTCTTCGAACTCGGTCTCGTTCGTCTCGTCGAAGACACCAATCTCGAAAGCGAGCGTCATGGCGTTGCCCAGCAGCATCCAGCACATGCGGTCACTGCGCCAGCACGGCTCCAGCCAACTGTCGATGCGCTTATCGCCCACGCCTTTGTACATATCAGCCTTCGGTCCTGCCTCGTAGGGGTCGTCGGGGAGAACGAGCTCGTCGTCGTCATCGCCAGGAGGGAAGTGCAGCGCGCGAGGATGCCATTCGGTAAGGAGCATCAGACTCTCAACAGTGCCAAGTGTACGAAGGCCCTTCCGCGACAGAGGGTTCACGTCGGATCCAGGCTGCTGGCCTGCGCCACAGAAGCCGCCGCCAAACTGCTCTTGTCCGAAGATCATGCGATCTATCATGCCCTGCAGGTACTTCCATAGCTTCTCGTGGATGAGGTATGACCGAGACGTTGCGCCAACGCCACTCGAGCCGCTGGGCTGTGAATACCTCGCCGAAATGGTCAAGAGTGTGATGACCAGCATGGGCTCCTCCTTAAGCAGCTTCGCGTGAAAGGCATGATCGCGGTAGTCGGGCACGACGATTGGTGTGAGCGGCGATAGGAAGGCGTAGAAGTAGTCGATGTATGCGATTGCTTCCTTTGCCGTGAGCCACCCTGCGCGCACAAAGCGGAACTTTGACCAGGCTCTCACGGCGTCGGCAAAGGCAGCTTCGTTGGGAGGGTCGGGCAGCATGGGATGCTGTATAGCGGGATCGACCGAGGGCTCGACGGTGGCGCGCGAGTTGGCGCGCGCATGGGAGGTGTTGGGCCGGGGGCTTGCGAAGTTGGTCTGCGAGCCTGGTGTGCTGCCGAGGGTCGGTCGCTGCATGCTCGAGCTGCTTCCGGTGCGGTGGTGGTTGTTCATGCCCGCCGCTTCGAACAGCAGGTTCAGCGCATCGTGGCCGCTGTAGACCTCGCCCGCCTGCAGCGTCGCGACCGTCTCGTTGTTCACCTTCTGGTCCTCTTCCTCGTTGGGCGTAGGCTGGTGGCCGCCCGACGTGTTCGGCCGTCGCAGCGGTTCGTATCGTCCGATGGAGCCGCCGGGGGTTAGAGGCTGCGATATGTACGCCGGGTTGGTCGTCGTGGTGATCAGAGGCTCCGGCAGGCCATCTGAGCGCTGGCGCTTCCGGCCATTGCGCAGCTCGTAGTCGTCCACCTCGTCATAGTCGTCCTCGCCGTCGGCCTTGCGCTTCCGGCGTGTCGCAGAGAAGAAGCACTCCTTACTCTCCCTCCTGCATCGCACGCAGGGCGGGTCGTGTGGGTTATCTACCGGGCCAAGATCTGGAGATATCAGCAATTGCGCGATAAGCACTCTGCAGCATTAACGTACCGCATCGCACCTTGCGGCGTCTGCACGGGATGCAGGCCTGGTAGGTGCGCGTGTGCTGGGCATTCTGCGTGCGCGGCGGTGGAGAAGCGTTGGAGCCCGCCGTCGACATGGTGGTGGTGGATTACGGTCGGCTTGCACCGGCTGAGAGCTGGCGGACTTTGGCTCTGATAAGGGCTGGAATACCGCCGAGGCTCCTCAATCCAGCGAGACGGTACCTGCATGCAATATGCTGCAAGTGTGCGCAACGGTAACGCCTACAGGAAGGTCTTCGTGTATGACTCCGCGTAATTCTGCTATTTGTTATCGTCGACTTGAGCTTACGGTACTGAGGCGTCGAAGGACTCGGGAGCGGGTCACGAGCGCGGGGGCTTTGGCTATTACGGAATGGCGTGTCCGCTCCTCCAATCTTGAACACAACACCACGTAACAGTCCATAACTCCCTCGGGTACCTCACGATCCACTGCCGGGTCACGCGTTGAGTGTGGCCGTGCAATCCGCTGCTTACGTCAGGGCGACCGCTGCTTCCTGGCTGTACCTGCTGCTCGCGGCATGTGATATGCTCGTGCACTCTGCGCGTGGCACAGCACCCAATCCGGCCAATGGGCAGTGAGCGGAGACCACGAACGTCATATCCGTCGTCTTTGTCCGTGTCTCCATCTGGCACGGTTGGAGGCTGGGATGTATATTGTCGCTACTCACGCGTCACGAACAGCCCGAGGTCGCGTCTCGATGACATGCCATAGCTTCTACTAGCGCACAATTGCATAAGCATGTACCAGGTAGGAAGGATCGCTACAGGCCTTTGACAGAAAGCAGAATTATGTTTGAGCTGGAGATATGGATGGATGCAACGCCAGCATGCTTAGCACCCGTTAAGCCGGAAGACGAGTACCTTCAACATATCCTCCAACACCCTTTGGCCACGCAATGTATTCAGACAGCCATCTCGGTCAATGTCAACGTGACGCCAATGTTGCATCCTTCCAAGGTGCCATCGCTGGCTTCACCCCGGGTTCCCTAGCACCAGAACCCACAGGTCATGTCCGAAAGCTACAACGCCGTTAGTCATCGTACCATCAAGGGATCCCAGGATGACTTACCCTTGGGTGATCGTTCTGGTGGTTCTCATCACAGCCAGTCTCGGCGCGCGTCCACGGGTTCCAGGAGCACATGCCCATCGCATCTGGGGTGTTGGTGGTCAGAGTGCTCCAGTAGCCACCCTTCGGCTCAAACGCAAAGTACATCTGCCTATCCTCCGGACTGTAAACTACGATCAGGCCGCCCATGCCCAACAGCCTCACAGCATGTTTGTCGATACGGCCAGTCCCCTCGGGGTACGTGACAACGGATTTGCGGTTGTTGTCTTCAACAGTGTAGAGCATGCCGAGCATCTGGTTGTGCCAACCTTCAGCGGGCGTGTGAAGACACTGCTGGAATAGTTGCAGTTTGAAGGAGCAGAATCCTGGGGCGTAGTTCGCAGAGGTCGAGTTGGTAGCGGCTGGACTGGGTGGCATCGAAAGCATATCGGGGAGCGCCTCGGAGCGCGCGCGCTTCACGGTGAAGTCTGACTCGGGCTTTGTGCAGTCGAATTCGCAGGTCAGGGCTTGAGACTTCAAGAATGGTCAGTGGGAGTAAGCAGAAGAGTATCTTGGGAACTAACTCGATGATTGCGGTCACTATTGTTGCAATCCAGCGGCAGGTTATCCCACGGCTTAGTGGTGCAGTTGAACTCGCTGTCTCCATTCTGGTTAGGCCATTCAGCGTCGCCGTAGATGACTATCTCGCGTCAGTTATTTTGCAATTGCAGTGGCCCGCGATAATACACACATCCGATGCTGTCCCTCTCATATCCAATCTTCAGTTTCTTTCCAGCAACCACGCCCGTGAGCGTCTCACCATCGGTCAAGTCAATGAAGTCGGTTTGCTCCATAAACTGGTTGCCAGCGCCATCATAAACGGGTGAGAGATCGACGTAAGTGTTGGCGTGGTCGTCCCAGCAATCCTGAGTGACGACTGCGTCGAAGGAACAGCGACCGGGTGTGAAGTCGGGACCGACACCTTGAGCGACTACAGAGGTAGTCAACAAGAGGAGCGCGGAGGCGACAAGGGTTAATATGATGAACATGTTGGTAATATTGGTGCTTCAAAGCCGGCGGGATGATTGAGGAAGGTATCAAGGGTAGGAATAGGCTGGGTTGGAAGATAAGTGTTGTAACAGGTGATATGACGTGATCGCTGGTCGCAAACGCTCAAATGTTGGGCAGTTCAGGTAATGAATGTGTTGTGGTAATCCTGAGAATGAAGGGGTGGTTCAAGGTTAAGAGTGCCCAGGTACCCACTGCACTTTCCTGGGACAGGGTAATGACTGGGCTTTCAGGATCCACGTTCGATCCAAAAACTCGTCTCGTTGCCCGTCCGAGCCGCGATTCTTTGTTTCTGGTGCGAGTCCTCCTGACAGATCCGGCGATCTCGCGTTTGTCATGACGCCAACAAGCCACCTGTCGATGGAATGCTGCCCAAGATGTGAAAAACAACTGTATCGTGTGGTGCATACTCCAATACTTGGCGCTACGTATGTGTAAAATGTCCAACAACTAAGGTGACGCTCACCATTGTCTGATGCTTAGGTATAAGCTTGTAGCATGAGGGCGCGCCGGATCAGGCTGCCAAGGCTGATGCAGGTGTCGTGTCACTTACCCAGGTACTTACCATACGTTCTAGTGTTTGGAAGTTGGAAAGCGTAGTACATGCAGGAGATTCAAACAAACGATCATTTTCTACCTTCGAACATGACGCGTGACTATGCGTGTACGATCCGTTGCACCGAAGAAGCTACAAAAAGCGTGCTGGCTAGGTATAGTCGCAGCTACCAGTGATTTGTCGTTTTTCGGACAAAGCATGAGAGCACGCTCGCCATGTTTTCAGACGCTCGGTTGACTCACAATCAGTTTTACTTAACATATAATCTGCGCAGTTCATTAATCATCTGCGAAGTGTCTAGATCAACTCTAGTGATCGATCCGACATGTCACTTAATGCATCCTCATCCCTCGCAGACGACTCGACGAAAGCGCCACTGTACGAGATACGACCAGTTACAGGGAAAGGAAGAGGCATTGTAGCTTGCTCTAACATACCGAAGGGAACACGAATCCTGTGTGAGAAGCCACTTCTCACATTGGCTAGCAAGATTGATAGCCTCGATGATAACATCATGAGGAAAGTTCAAGCTCTCTCCAAGGATCAACAACGCCAGTATCTTAGTCTCTACAACACCCACACAAACGGCAATAAGTTCACCGGTATCTTTCAGACAAATGCTCTACCATGTGAGTCAACACCGCCGACTGTCGGCATTCTCCCGACTATCTGCCTAATCAACCACTCTTGTGTACCCAATTCACAGCATAGCTGGAGCAGTATGAAGAATAGCCAGATGATACACGCAGTTAGGGACATTGAAGAGGGCGAGGAGATTACGATTTGCTACGGCGAGCAAGGGGCTTTCGACGCGCGACATGATTTTCTAATCGAATCGTTCGGTTTCGAGTGCGACTGCAGTGTCTGCTCGCTTCCAATACCGGAGAGGCAAGAGAGTGATGCTCGCCGTATTCGCATCGAGCAACTTGACAAGGTCATGGGTAACATGGAGCACGCCGTATCCAAACCAGGTATTACAATCTCCACCGACCCCATTCTGACGCACATTTCGCTAACTCGTGATAGTAAGCACAACCTCTCAGATCGAAACCAGACACGAGAATGAGTTTCCGCACACCTTCTATGACACCCGCTAACTTTTGCTCGTGTGCTTTAGGATGAAGTTCTAGCGCACTGCCGACACATGGTACGTCTCCTAAATGAAGAGTTCAGAGGTTGCGCCACTACCATGGAGTCGAGATTATATTTCGACGCCTTCCAGGTCGCCATTATGCATGGTGATCAAGCTCGTGCCAGCGTCTTCGCGGGAAGAGGTTACAACGTCCGGCTCGTTTGCGATGGAGAGGATGGTTTGACAACACAGACGATGAAGAATTTCCATGTCGACCCACATACACATCACCTCTTTGGATATTCTTCTCTGATATGGAAAACGAGCCAAGATGATATTCCCGAAGGTCTGAGTGAGACGGAGTTTGAAGACTGGCTCTGGCGATCGCAATCAGTCTGATCCAGGAGCCCAGAAGCGTGAGCGGTATCTAAAATGTATTACCGAGTGAAATCCAGCGAGGGTGAGAGAAAATGGTGATTGCGTGAGGCAACAGAGTGTGATCGGGCCCTGGTTTGCTCTAGGCCAATATAAAAAAGCTCACTCACTTGGTTAATCTGTATCGTTTAGACACTACACTTCAGTCTCCGCTGCTCATCACACAAGCTGCCCCAACTTTATCGTCAAAGCAAGACCAGTGTGAGTACTTGACCGACGAAGGTTTCTATAACTTTCTCGCCAAAGTTAAACAAGATCGTGCTCACCAAGTAGGTTTGCTGAACGACTGCGCGAGAGATCCTCAACGTCTACGGTTCCAAGGTTCGCTCCGCTACCGCCGTTTCCCATACGATGGATTCTTTACTCTACCATGTTCAAGACATCCCCGGAAAAGGCAGAGGCCTGGTTGCTCGTTCCGACCTTGCTGAAGGCACTCGCATCTTGTGCGAAGAGCCCTTGGCCGTGTTACCTGCCAACATGTCTGAGGAGGAGATGGAAAGGCAGCTCGCACACCAATTGAGGGCTCTCAACAAATTAGAACAGCGACAGTTTCTCTCACTCCACAACAATGTCACTGGCAAAAGGGTCTTCAGCGGCATCTTCAAGACTAATGCACTGCCTTGTGGTCCAAAATCGTCTTTAGGCGCTGTCTACCCCACCATATGCTTCATCAATCACAGCTGCCTTCCAAACAGCTGTTACAGTTGGAATGCGGCTGCACAGATGGAGACTGTCTACGTGGTCCGCCCCATCAAGGCCGGAGAGGAGATCACTGTCTGCTATACAGACCCGGAAAACACTGCCGCTCGACAAGCTCACCTCAAGAATCACTTCGGATTCAACTGTTCTTGTGAGCTCTGTTCACTGTCAATCATCGACCGGAAGGCTAGCGATGCGCGCCGTAACCAGATCTACCAACTTGAGGAAGGATTCTTCGCACCAGGTCGCGCCATCTTCAAGCCACGAGAAGCATTGCTCGATCTTCGCAAGATGCTCGAGCTACTAAACGAGGTACCCTTCTCTTCTGCGGTTAACTCAGAGATCGAGCTAATCTTTCTAGGAGTACAAAGGCGGTGCAAAGGTCTTGGAATCCGACGTATATTACGACGCGGTGCAGCTCACCATCTCTCACGGCGACGAAGCACGCGCGAGTACGTTTGGCAAGCGGGCTTACGAGGCGAGGCTACTCTGTGTGGGCGAAGACGGTACACGTACACAGGAGATGAAGGGTCTGATGAACAACCCAGCCTCCCACGAGTACTTTGGCATGAGCAAGAAGTGGAAGACAGCCAAAGACGCCATTCCAAGGGGCTTGGATAAGAAAGATTTCGAGAAGTGGCTTTGGCGACTGGAATAGGGATGATCGGTGGTGCCCAGGTGAGCTTGGGACAACATGGCTGAAGCGATGGTCGGCGGGGTCCAAGGCTTCGCAGCCAGGTTGGAGCTGCGCAAACTGTGTCCCAAATTGCGTGTAGCTGCATCTTTGCGGCGAGTAAATTCGGATGCCTATGCGAATCAGAAATAGCTTGTAATAGAGGATGCATCATATTCCCGCAACACTGTGATCCTTCCCTGTGCTATAGCGAATGTAGTACATGCGGCGGTGTTGTTGCAGACTTCGCAGGTAGTGCGCACTGCATATCGCGACAGTATCTCAGACGAAGACGACGAGCGGATGTGGTGCCTGTTGCTTCCAACGAAGGCGATGATCTGTTGTTCAGGAGTTGAGGACGCGAGAGGTGCGCGGCCTTTCGGGCCGATTTCGGCATAGATCAGCGCGCGAGCTGCACTCCAAGGTGGGCGGCGATGCTTCTGCATCCGCATCCCGCCCCCACCTCTGCACACTAGAGAAGCTCCATGCATGGAGCACCGAAGACCACGCGATGCTCTCTCATGCGATCGTTGTCGCGCGAAGAAGCTAAAGTGCTCGAAAGATGCGCCAATATGCACTTCCTGCGCCCATAGCGGCTCGCACTGCCATTACAGTGGCAAAGTCGCTAGATCACCCTTGACACGGGCATACCTCACGGGTGTAGAGAAGCGACTGCACAGTCTGGAGTCTCTGGTCACGCAGTTACTACCCGGAGTTGATATTGAAGACTTGTTATCAGCTCCAAACGTGGCTGGCTCTGCGCGATCCGTCATCATCCAGTCTCAGACGCCAGAAGTAGCACCAAGCCCCCAGGGCAGCACCCACTCAAGCACACATGAGCCTGCGTTACCTGAAGCTGTACCCAACAATGTCGATGGCTTCAATTGGCAAGAAGAAGACGTCAATGTCGATGGGCTGACTGATGGCATGGCAGCCCTGTCAGTCGAGCCTACTGGTGTAGGTTATTTGGGTCAGTTGCTTCACTCGAAGAGCAAAACGCGTGACTGAAACTATCTAGGCTCGACTTCTGGTGTCGTTTTCCTTCGATGTTTGCTTGACTGGGCCGGCTTTCTGCACCAGTCAGTTCCCCGGCCTCAACAGAGCGTGGCGACTCCATCCGCTTCCTTTCGAAATGTATTGGCATCATCGCACATTTCGCATGCAGCTCTCACAACACAACTGTCGTCGAGCTTGATTGATGCCTACTTTGCCAACTACCACGTAGTCTATCCATTCGTTCACGAAGCAACATTCCGAGCGCAGTACCATGAAGTCGTCCCGCGGCCCTCAAAGAAGTCGTGGAACATGCTTTCTCATGCGATCATAGCACTTGGTGCGTGGTCGTTGAACAACGATCAAATTGGACTGGAAGACTACCTGTACCGTCGGGCGTTGACCTTGGGTCAGGAAGAGTCTGTGTTTGAAGCTGCCAGCCTGACCTCTGTACAAGCACTCATACTTCTGAGCAACCTTAGCCAGAAGCGCAATAGCCCAAACACAGGATGGAATCTGTTGGGCCTCGGCGTTCGCACAGCGCTGAGTCTAGCCCTCCACAGAGAACTTCCTCACTGGAACATCACCCTGATCGAGCGCGAGACGAGACGTAGAGTATGGTGGGGTCTCTACATCTTCGATAGTGGAGCTTCGACGACATTCGGTCGCGCTATCATGTTGCCTGACCAAGAGACTATGGATGTTCACCCTGTGCTGAACATCCACGACGAGGTATGACCGTCCAGCGAAGTTTGTATAGTCCTTGCGAAACTGACCCATGCTAGTCACTTACACCACAAACAACAACGCTACCTACTGAGGTTGACGAACCGACTATATACTCCTCTCTCAGAGTGCAGAGTAGTTTTCACCTACAGACGAACCACATCTCAAACAAACTACTAGCCGAACCCGGGCTCTCTGCGGAGGCCGCGCTCGCTTTGAACGCTTCCATGGATGCTTGGACACACACAGTTCCGACATATTTCCAGCTTTCGCATGCGCCCAGATCGACGGCTCCATGGTACTCATTTGCCCGCTCTCGGCTGTGGTGGAGGTTCTGGAATCTCAAGATCATCATATTCCGACAGATCTTGTTGCGCCGAGCCATCTCCGAGCGAGGTCAGATCCCAGACCTAGCCATGCAGTCAAGCCAAGAGGACTGTAAGCGAATATGTCTTGAAGCCGCGCATTCTACAGTGGTTTCGATACATCAATATGCAACACAGGACTTGAACAGACTGGAGGGGTGGTACGCGACGTAAGTACTTGAATTGGACCCGAAATGAACACATATGCTAATGCAGTTACAGGTACTTCCTTTTCCACGCGGCACTAGTAATAACCCTTTGCATCATCAGCTTCCCTCGCGCTGATGAGACTGCAATCTGGTACGACGATGTTCGCTTGGCCCGAACCACCTTCCGCGAACGGCTTGTTGGGGATTCGCTGTCAGCCCGCTGCGTGGCCATCCTTGACCAAGTGGTGTCTGACGGCGAGTTGGACTCAGGTACACTGCAGGATCTGGAGCTGGATAAAGACGCCTTGAGTACGTTTCCATGGTCCGTTGAGTCCAATGAGTTATTCAACTCCTTCGATTGGGATTTTACTACGTCCGGTTTCTAACCTCGGGCGCAATCTTAATGGCACGATACCTCAATTCTCGATGATGACATCCGGTTTTACCATCATGGATCGTATCAGTTCGCCGTTTGGAATGTCATTCTCCTCTGCTCGTGCGATTGCAGCTGACATCGACGTCTCGATCCCAGCAGCAAGGTGACGTTGTGCTAACCTATCACGAACTGTGTCTACAGGCGCGTCGACAAACCATCTACAGAATGTCAGTACCAACCTGCCAGGCGATAATATGACCATGACCAACCTTTCATCGCACATCTCTGCAATCTGATCCCATGGATCTTGTTTCAAAAGTGTGTAGTTGCCCTCAACAATAACGAGTCGAGTACGAGAAGAGACCTTGATAGCGTCTTGCACGGGGTCCTTGGCAGCATGGTCGAAGCCGGGTGCAGGAATACAGATGTCGGCTTCGCCATCCTTGGTGACGGGAGCTTCTTTGAGTGTCTTGACAAGCGTCACACACCCCTTCGCGTCAAATGTAAACGGCGCTCCACGTCTTTTGAACGCTACTTCGGCATCATCGAAAGTCGACAGGATTTCTCGAGTGTAGTGGAAGCCGTCCTAGTGCTCGTCAGAGATGTGGCATCGCGGGTTTCGGTTGGCTCCTACCATCGGTACAACAGCAACATCTTTGATGCCTCGTGCAGCAAGCTCGGAGGCGAGCGCATCAGACACCGTTGACTTTCCCGCGCCTGGCACGCCCGCAAGAGCAACAAGCATGCGATGACCGGGATTGGTCGCTTGGCGAGACAGAAGGTTTTCCGTGCGCTTGGCCACATCGAGTATGGATGCACGCAAGGCGTCCACCTTTGATTCGGCTGGCATCATCGGCGACTCTGAAATAGCAGACACGAAATTTTTAATGAGGTATGAAGATGTATGGGATGTTCGGGTTAAGAGACTCGCATGAGGTGAGCAGTGTTACAGTACTGCATGCGACGAGCTATGATCTAAAGATCACGTTGGCGTTGTGGAGTCGGACGACAGCTGTCCGAGCATAAGTCATGTTGGAGCCCCAGTTCCCACAACTGAATCAGGCAACTTTACCATGCGGGGAACCCGCATGGCACTTACGACTAAAGGCGTAGACGTATGGAGAATCGTGGAGTCGGACGACAGTGCTCCGAATGTGTCGGACCCCAGCTACGATCGTGAAGTTCTCACGCGATCGGCAAAGGTATATAAGCACGCGACACTACCATTACTAGGCTGCCTACTCATAGCTGATCCCAACCTTCGGAGCCGGCATTGGCATATCCACAAAGAAGACGGCCAGCATGTCTTCAATTCAGGATGTTACCGCCGCTGGAGCTGCGCCAAAAATTGGTGTCTACAAGGAGCTCAGACAAAATCCATATCTCCTGGGTCTATCCGCTGTAAGTCGATCCCAGGCCTGATCTACCTCAGCCTCAACTGACATGCATAGTTCGCCTCGTTGGGCGGTTTCCTCTTCGGTTATGATCAAGGTGTCGTCTCTGGAGTGCTGACCATGGAGTCTTTCGCGGCATCCTTCCCGAGAATCTCTACAGACAGCTCCTTCAAAGGCTGGTTCGTCTCGACATTGCTACTCGCCGCTTGGTTCGGTTCTCTCGTCAACGGACCAGTAGCCGATCGCTTCGGTCGCAAAGGATCTATCATCATAGCTGTCGTCATCTTCACCATCGGTTCTGCGCTTCAAGCTGGCGCGATCAACATCCCAATGGCTTTTGCAGGTAGGGAACTTTCAGCATGGTGTGATTGCAATCTAGACTGACAATATACACAGGCCGCGCAATCGCTGGTTTCGCCGTTGGCATGCTAACAATGATTGTACCAATGTACATGAGTGAGGTCTCAACTGCCGGTATCAGAGGCACTCTAGTCGTTCTCCAACAACTTTCCATCACACTCGGTATCCTTGTCTCCTACTGGCTCGAGTTCGGTACCCAGTACATTGGAGGCGTACGTTGCGCGCCCGACATCCCATATACTGGTGGTACTGCGACAGAGCCTGCCTTCGACCCACGAAATGACGTTGGCCCGAACGGCTGCACCGGACAGAGCGATGCTGCGTGGCGCGTTCCTTTTGCGCTCCAGATCTTCCCCGGTCTCGTTCTCGGCATTGGCATGCTCTTCTTCCCCGAATCACCTCGCTACTACTGCATGCGCGACAACGAGGAGGCTGGTGTGAGAGCGCTCGCCCGAGTTCGTCGCACCACTCCAGATGATGAGTCCCTGCAAAAGGAGTATCTCTCCATCAAAGCCGAAGTCATGTTCGAAGAACAATACAACCGCGAGAAGTTCCCAGGCAAGTCTGGAGTCTCGCTGTACCTTTCCGGATACTCGACGCTCTTTTCGACCTGGCCATCTTT